GTAGGGACGATACTTTGGAAGCCACGGTCCTAGAGCAGAGGTTGGCAGACTTTTTCTGTAAGGGCCAGTTAGTATTTTAGCCTTTGTGGGCCATGCAGGTTCTGTCACTCAATTCTGCCATTATGGCCACAGGAAATACGTAAATGAATGAGCACGGCTGTGTTCCGTAAAACTTTATTTACAAGAAACAGGTGGTCTCATTTCAAAAAAAAAATTGTGTTGCAAATATAAAAAAACTTTTTAAAAGGTGTTAGGAGCCAGAGCCTCATTCTAGGTGGATTTCTGAAAGCCCTCGGATGGGAACCAGTGTTAAAGCCTCAGCTACGGGTCAGATCCCATCTCTGATGTTCACTGGCCGCAGGACTTCGAAGAACACTAGCGTCTCTGCAGAATGAGGATGATGATAATAATACAGCGACAGATCGGAGGGAATGCTAACATTTATCCAGTTTACGTGAGCGTTTGACTTACTATTCTTCATACTATTTTAATCTGCATGAATAAAATACTCCAGGATTTTAAATTTTCTATCTTTAAAACGTAGTCAAAATAATTCGTTGGTCGGTATGTGTCTTAGATTTTAGGTTCCAGTGTCACCCAAAATGTTAGTTATCTTATGAAGTCACGATCACCTTTGGAATTCCCTCACATCACCAGCACCCGGGCTCTTAGAAAGTCAGAAGCCAAGCATATCTTTCTTTGAGTATCTTTGCATTGGAGAAGCCCCAGACTAAAGGACACATCAAGGACACCCCAGGCTTCCCTTGTCTGTAGTGGAGCTCGTGGTCTCTCCTGCCCATAACCCTGCTCCCCTGGCATCTTCCTTCATTCAGACAGTGGTACCTGCTCAGGCCACAGAGAATGGTTTGGGAGGAGGAATTGAATGAGGAAGGGTTCTGGTGTGGCATGTTGAGGATGAAATTGTTTTATAGCTCAAATAGGATGTGTTGATCTTTTAGCTCAGTGCTCTACTTTATGTATTAATAAACAGAGGTGCAGGAAGCAGAGGGGCTACTGCTTTACGTGGGTTTTCTCTTCTCAGCACCTCACTAAGATTGACTTGTTTTGTCTTTATATCAACCACATAAGACAAGTCCGGTTAATTTCCCGGTGTGCAGATGGGGCAGAAAGGATGAGTAATTTGCGCAAGGTCATGCCTCTGGGAAGGAAGGGAAGTGGGATTTGAGCACAGGCAGTGTGACCACAGAGTCCGTGCTCTGTCATTACTACTGTGTGCTAGATGTGATTTTTGCTTCCTTGTCTATAATCTATCTGTAGGTTGAGGAACAAAACACTACTTGGAAAAAGGCTGCCTAGTTGTCCCTTCAGTAATCTGCGTGGTGCCAGAGGAGATGAATTGCCACGGGGGCTAGGGGAGGGGGCTTCCAGGCATTTCCAGTGTTCATCTGATTACACTGAAGTTTCCTTCTGCAGATGCATATGATGCTTTGGAAATGGTGCAGAAGCAGGAAGATGTCCCTGTGGGTTTGGGTGCATATCTGGTCTTAAGAGTATATTCCTGGAAGCCTCGCCCAAAAGGAAATGGCCCAAAGTCTGCTGAATGGCTCCAGGGTCACTCAGCTCAGCTTCACAGATACACCCTGATTTTGTGCCTGCTACAGCCCACGCTGGGCCCTGGGGCTACGGCAAGACCGCGGTGTCTGAACCGTTCTGCTCACCCTTGGGCACCTTGATGGCTCTGGGTCCAGAAGTGGTAGCTTTGGGAGAAACCCCGCTGTGTGCGGATTACACCCCGGAAAGAGAGGGAACGTGGGCATCCAGTGCCCAGCCCGGAACGGGCAGCCTCTTAAAACACGATGTGGCAGAGGTGCCCCTGCCCATTGTGTGACCTCAGACAACGGTGCACACACACAGTCTGGCGCCTGGAGCCTTGGGGTGGAGGCGGGAAGGGCGGGCCTGAGGCGGGCCTAGTGCCCAGGTGTGGTCTCCCCGTGACTGATGCGCAGTGTGCTGCTGCCTCTCCCCTCAGGACCCCAGAAGCAAGCACAAATTCAAGATCCACACCTACGGAAGCCCCACCTTCTGCGATCACTGTGGGTCGCTGCTGTACGGACTCATCCATCAGGGGATGAAGTGTGACAGTAAGTAAGTTTTCTTTTCTTAGTAGATGCTGAGGCTCTGCAGCATGCGTCCGGGGTTGACAGGGCCCTTCAAGATTTAGTGTCTCTTCAGCTCGTCAGTAGAATCCGTTCGGATGTGGACTCTACTGAAAAAGTGGAGAATCTCTCCGCTGTCGAAGTTCTGGTTTATTAAACGACTTAACTGCCTAATTATGAGCCCTCACCCCAAAAGCACCCGATTTAATGAGGTTGGTGCTGCCCCAGTCTTCCGTGGTGGAGATCTGCAATCGCTGTCGCACGCAGGCCTGTCAAACCCCACCACGAGTGCCGTGTGTCCCCACCTCCAGATTCCACATTTGGTTTGGCTTCAAGATGAGCTGAGCATTCGTACTCATTATCTTCCTGGGTCTCTGATTAGTGGGTGGACTGTGGAAAAATCCAGTAGGCTCTCCTTAGCGCTGAAACCACAGCAAAAATGGAAGCGGGGAGGGCATCTTACTTTTGAAGTTCACTTGCCCTGTGCGTTTCTGGACAGATCATATTCCTACCAGGCCAGTTAGAGATGAAATCCCGGAAGACATCGTCCTCTCCCCTTCCCCTTTCTGCTCTGTGTGTATCTCCACCAAACACCAGGAGGAAAGAAAAACACCTTTTTCTTTCTGTGGAAACTCTTTGCTTTGATTATTGTCATGTAAGGAGATTCCCCAGGCTATTTATTTGTTTCAAGAAAATTTTATTCTTAGGACATGAAAAGGTACTTACTGAGCCTATTGTTTTCTAGTAGAAGGGGAAGGGTTATGGGAATATAAGATGTGTCATTCGTTAATGACGGCTGTTAGGGCCCAGAGCCTCATCTGTGTGTCCCGACACGGAGCAAAGACATACGTATGTTGTCTTCCCTAGGTATCCGAGGGGGCTTGGTTCCAGGCCCCTCCGCGGACGCTCAGCGCCCACAGTCAGTGGATATGGGGGTGTGGATTGGGGGGGTGGGGAGCAGCTGCGGAACTGTTGGAAAGAAATCGTGTCTGAGTGGACGTGTCACTCAAGGGCCAACTGCACATAACGTCAAGCTCTGTGAACTTCACGGAGTAGACGGATAGCTTCTCAGAGCGCAGGGCTGCTGCACCTTCCCAAGCTGTGGAATCCAAGAGCTTCACGGGAGCTTCACGATCGGCAAGGCCTGTGGCTTCCTGCATTTCGGGAAACGCTTGGATTCCAAAGACACTGTTTTCAGAGGCTCTGCAAGTGTGGATTCTGAGTGCACTTGTAAATACACTTTTAATTATTTTAAAATTTGGAACAAAAGTGAATCCTCAGCTGTGTTAGGCACTCAACCTTGATGAGTTGAAGGTGACCTTGCGGACGGGGCCCTCCCATTTCTCCTGCTACATCAGCTGCAGAGTCAGCCGGGATCGTGAAGGGTGCCCTTAAAGAAGGGCACCAGCTGCCCGTCCTCTTCTGGGTGAACCAGGATTTGGGGATGCTGTCCAACTTTACCACAAGACAGAAATAAATGCATCGCTGAGGCTGAACGGAGTCTTCACCTAGCACCCCTAACGGCTGGGTGAAAAGTTTTGTTTGCATCAGATGCCTTTCTTGGTTATCCAGGAATGTCTTCATAGTAAATAAGCGGTATAGATTTGAATTTATTAACTAAGTGTATGCTAATGAAGTGACACTCATCTGGTTTGTAGATTAGGATCCTGCTTAGTAACATTTTAGTTGTAAAATGGGTTCTGTTAGTAAAAGTTTTGAAAACCACTGAGCTAAACCAGTGCGTTTTGTTTTAAGCTCTTTGCCTTGGAGTCCTAGGGTTTCTGGGGCGGCTGCCTGTGCTCCTTCCTGGGGGATGCAGGAAAATAAGCAGATGGGTGCCAGGACCCAGCCCACCCCCCAACCAGAGCCACTTCTGCAGAGAAGAGCCCTCTTCCTCTGCGCTTACACACAGTAGGTTGTGATGCTGTAGACATTTCTGCTCGGTGGAAAGAAAGCAACCGCTTGCTTGTGCAGGCCTCTTAGTTTGCGGAGTAGGAAAGGGAGTTGGAAAGCCAATGAGCTTCCCAGGATGTACGATACAAGCCGCGGACGGTAGCGCCGAGACAGAGGTACAGCCCAGGGCCCTTTCACCTCCCACGCCCTCCCTGAGGTCCACGTCCTTTCCAGAGGCTCTGGCATTTATTCCCTTAAGTTGCACGTTCTGCCCAAGTACTCGAACGCGTGATTTGGTCAATGCGGGTCATAGCACAGCTTTTCAAGAGGCTTTGTATTGGCCGAATCAGGGTGCGTGATTCTGAACGGTTCCCTTTGGGAATGAATCCACATTAATTGTTCTTCCCTCGTTGTATCCCTTTTCCTGCTTTCGGTGTTTAGTAATCGTAGCTGAGATCCGTTGTTCATGATGCTTCTTGCTATTTAGTTCACCACGTTAAAATTAACCACTGAAGATGAAAGGGGCGTGAAGGCTCAGAAGAGCCTTGTAGCATCCCCTGGAGGATTCACAAGCGTTCCAGGGCCGCCCCTCCTTCTGGAAACCTGAAGGTACAGGGCCGGTAGAGCAGAAACACCTACACAGAGTCTTCTGTTTGTGCTCAGTGCACCGGCCTCTCTTCAGGGTTCCTTTAGTCCATTACAATAAGACTGATCTTTTTTTAATCCTCCCCCATCTCGCCCACATAATGTCAGCTGGTGAGAAATGGCTTATGCCAGGCGTGTATTTGTTTTACTCAGAATAATATTTAAATATCGGAAGACAGGTTTAAAATATCAAGCACAGGTTCTTTTAAAAGCAACAACAACAACAAACAAAAGCAATGCACTTAAGCCTCCTTGGAAATACAGAGTTTACTGAGGAAAGGAACATTTTCTGAATTTCCTTTACTCAACCCTGCAAATTCTCAGAAAGGCATGAGAAATTCTTTGGCAGAAAGAATCGTCTGTTTAAAATGTGCATGTTATTTGCCTCTGTGTACATAAAATAGTCATTAGTCTGTGCTCTACATGCATTTACCTGTGTGAATTTTGTGTGCTGTTATGTATTGGAAGCATTCACAGAAGACGGGGGTGTCTTGCTTCGGTTAAGACTGGACAATATGGATCGAGTATTTTAAGGACACAGTCACTCTCATGCAGCCTGTGCTGTAAGGGACATCTGCTAACAGTTCTTTATGTCACCAAAAGCATTATAGCAGAGTATCGAGTTAGAGGGTGGCTCATTTTCACTTCTGTTCATGCAGCCAAAACACCGAGGGAGGGATGTTTCCAGGCCACACGCCCAGCCTCACCCTTTGCTTTCTTGACTCACAGCCTGTGATATGAACGTGCACAAGCAGTGCGTGATAAACGTCCCCAGCCTCTGTGGGATGGACCACACGGAGAAGAGAGGCCGGATCTACCTGAAGGCCGAGGTCACCGAGGAAAAGCTCCACGTCACAGGTAAGGCAATCTCGGATGGCTGTGAGGCGTGTGGTGCTCCGTGGACTTCGGATCAAGGGCAGGCCAAGACCCAGGCTGCTCGGACGCAGAGCCACAGGGTCTCATGAACATGCCTCCCGAATCCCCAAATGCTCACTGGCAGTCAGGGTCGCCACGGCCGTGTGGATGAAGTGTTCTGCAGCAGGGCCAGCAGATTGCACCCCTGGTGGGGGGCACACCAGAAGCCACTAAGCAAGATGCCACGGGTGAAGGTGGAACCCGGGCAAGGGCAGGCGATGGATGATGACCTGATGGGCCCACTGATGCTGATGGTAACAGCAGCTGCCTCGCGTATTTACGCCTCCTCTGATTTGGGTGCGGTGCTGAGAAATCCACACAGATTAATTTATCTGCTTCTCACAACTACTAGATCATTAGCCTCATTTTGCAGAAGAGGAAACCGAGGCACAGAGAAATGGGAACCCTGCACTGTCACATAGTAACAGACCCTGTGCTTCTAACCATCACACCACCTGCACCTCACAGACAAGACGGCTGAGGCACCAGAATTCCATGTCCCCAGGCCAGGCGCCCCTCCTTGGGGCCGTGTCGGGGTGCGCCCTGTCACAGCACAGCTTTTCCTTTGGTTTCCCACTAAATCCACACTCAGCCGAGGGTCCTCAAGGTGACGCCCTCTGTGCTGAGTATGGTTTAAGTCTCAGGTGGCAGCCTCGTTTCCTTACTCTGGAGGCCTCTTGGGTACCACCCGCGCTGTACGCTCCCTTCTCCTGGACCAGGACATTTATTCTCATCAGATCAGCAAACGTAGTATGTTCCCATTTGTATTTAAAAGTGGAAAAACTGACTTAATTTTATTGTAAATGACAGAAGATGTTATAGGAAAAAAAAAGACTTGAAGGGTCTGTTTAAGGAAAAAGCGGGGGTGGGGTGGGGGGCGGAGTCCCAGAGAAAGCTCACTTTTGGGAACATCCTGACGTTTTTTTTCTTTGGAAAACAGTCCAGTTTTCTACCCAGTGCTATCCTGTCAGGTAAGAATTCAGGGAACATCAAACAGGGTTGTGAGGTGTTGCGAGGAGAGGGTCCACACACTTTGCGGCTGGGTAACCTGATGAAACGAATCACACACCGGCTAATGGTCAGAATGGGACTGTGCGTAAAATCCCCGTCACAGACACAGGACCCCTGGCGCCTTTGTGTTTCAGAGAAGGTCCTTGATTTTCTCAAAACCATCCTGCCTGCCCCCTTGCGCTTGGGGCTGCGGTTCTCGCCTGCATTCCCTTTGATTGGACGGATGCTGCAGTGAGGCCACAAGCGGGTCTGCACCGTCACAGCCCCACGCTTATTTCTCTCTCTTTTTTACTAAGGCTCCCTCATTGTCAAAGTCCCGTCCTGGGGGCAGGGAGCATGCAGTTTCAGAGAAAATTACCATAAAACAGAGACTGAGTAAGTGGTAAGGGGTCGCAGCAGAATGCCTGTTGGCTGAACAGCGCCACGCTTCTCCCCGGCTTTACAGCGACCCACGGCCATGGCGATGTGGTGGACACACGGGGGACAGTCAGAGCTCAGCCAGGAGGGTCCCAGCTCCCTGAGGGCTGGACTGCCTGGCAGGGATTTCAGCATTCAGCTCATACTCCTTGTGCTTCTGAGTACAAAACAGACTGTGCGTGCTAGACCGGCCCGTGCCTTCTCCATGTGGCACTGCCTGAGTGTGCCAGGCTCTTCTGTGAGCCTCAAGAGCCTTGCAGGTGTGAAACTGCACAGAGGGGCACAGATGCGCTATCTGGGGTGGCACACGGTACGAGAGAAAGACCCACCTTGCAGGGGACAGCCAGGCGTATCCTCCTGGGACTCCTATGCTAATCACTCCAACATTGCCAGGAGTTGAAGTTGACTCACAACTGTGGAATCATCTTAGGGGAAGACACCCTCCCTGAGTTTGAGACTTTTCATGCATGAAAGCCAACCGCTGTAATCCATGGCTGCAATCTAGGTCATGTCTCTTGAGAACGAGTCTACACGTTTGTGCAGAGACGTAGCTCTGCTCTAGGACTGTGAATTCAGCAGTACTTTTCATAACAGCAGCAACAGCAGCTCACAGTGACTGAGCACTTCCCACAAAAGGGCCACCTTCGAAGCACTTTACATAATTAACTTATTTAAACCTGTGTGGAAGTTTATTATCCTTATAGATGAAGAAACCAAGGCACAAAGAAATTAAATAACTTGCCCAAAGTCACACAGATGGTCACTTTAATGGTTACATACTCAACTGATAGAAGTAGAGATATTTTAATGACAGTACCAGTAGGAACTGGAATCTTATCTTAGTTCAGGCTGCTATAATAAATACCATGGACTGAATTTCTCTTGGTTCTGGAGGCCGGGAAGTTCAAGATCAAGGTGCCACCACTTTGGTTTCTGGAGAGAAATCTCCACCTGGCTTACAGGGGCTGCCTTTTGGCTGTGTCTTCACTGGGGGGGAGGGGGAGAGACTGGGAGTGGGAGTGGGAAGAGGGAGGAAGGAAGCAAACTCAGTGGTGTCTCCTAAGGGCACTGATCCCATCCTGAGGGCCTCACCCTCATGACCTCATCCCCTCCCAAGGCCCCACCTCCTGTACCATCACCGTAGGAGGTTAGGGCTTCCACATGCAAACTTGGAGGCACAAACATTCAGTCCACAGCAAATCTAACTTAAAAATACAGTAGTTATCTGTGTGCAGGAAATTCAGTCCTAAATATAGACATCCAAGCTAAAGGAAATAACCCGTTAGTAATCATTTCCTTAAGACTTTTAGAGTAATTCTAGATTTTCAGAATCAGAATTAGCCTGGCTTCAAGGAGAACAGAAATATAAACAATAAACCATAACGAGTAGAGCTTATGGTACAAAAAAAGTCACAAAAGTAACACAGAGGGCTTCCCTGGTGGCGCAGTGGCTGAGAGTCCGCCTGCCGATGCAAGGGACACAGGTTCGTGCCCTGGTCCGGGAAGATCCCACATGCCGCGGAGCGGCTGGGCCCGTGAGCCATGGCCGCTGAGCCTGCGCGTCCAGAGCCTGTGCTCCGCAACGGGAGAGGCCACAACAGTGAGAGGCCCACGTACCGCAAAAAAAAAAAAAAAAAAAAAAAAAAAAAAAAGTAACACAGAGTTCCCTACCCCTTTCACCGGCAGCCCCTGATTGTCACGTCCTTACATAACCATACTTTAGGCATCAGTGTAGTCACATTTTTAAATAGTACCCGATAAATTTATGAACAATAGGTACCTATGTTAGTCACTAGAAATCGTTTTAAAGAGTCAAAGAGAAGACCTCAGGCTTCCTTATTCCGGTATAAAAGGCCAGTGAGGAACACAGGGCAGAGCCCCTCCCTAGCGGTACCTAACACCCCTCCTGCATCACCTGCCTGTACCCCTCCTCACCCAGCGGATCTGGCACTTGTGTATGGGTGTCTTGACAGACAGTTTCCATAACAACAGCTGCCATTGACCGAGTCCTTCCCGTGTACGTACTACTGTCCACAGGACTGGACCTTTCCCCATTCCAAGTGCTTCCCTGACCCCTCAAAAATTATACCACGGCGTACTGTTCTTGCCCTCATTTTCAAGATGAGCAAAGGAGCTAACGGGGCGGGGGGGCGGGAAGGAAATTGCTCCAAGTTACGAGGCAGAAAGTGAAGGGAGGCGGCCTGAGCCCAAGTCTGACCCCTGCACCCAAATGCTGTCAGTCTCCCAGGTCTCTCTTACTGATTAAAGAGTCTCCTCTGGATGAATAGCAAACCCATAAATAGTTTCTAAACCCACACTCAACACCCCACGGCTTCTTTGAGGTGACAGAAGGTCTAAACGTGGGACTTAGGACCAGGGGAGAAAAGTGTAACGTGTGGAGGAATTAAAGAGCAAGCCAAGTCCACGTATAATTAAGTGCTCAGTTATGTGGGTGCCAGACAGTCACATAACTATGACTGGGAGGCTCTGGGGCGTATGGGATGGGGAGGGAAGGACCCCGCAGAGGAAGAGGCTGAAGGACTGTAGGTGTTTGAGAGGCCAGAGGGAAGAGACCTGCAGCTGATGGCTGAGATGGGGTAGAGATATTAGCCGGCCTTAATGGGAACACACATATAAACAATAAACCATCCCGAGCAGAGCTTATGATACCAATGCAAGTGATTTCTTGGAAAATGCACTTAAACCCTAAGTACCTGTGTTAATTGTTAGATTGGCTCCATTTCCATTTGACCTGCGCAGAATCACTCAAATTGAAAATAATTCCCAAAGTAAAATAGAAATTCCCAGCAGACTCCTGGGATGGAAATCACCCTTTTGAAATCAGAGATCAGTCTGCTTTTGAGATTGGTACAGTATTTCTGGGAAAGGCCTCTGCTTTTGTAGTGTATTTTTATTTTTTGCCTTTGGGCAGTGGTGCTGATGTTATCTGAACAGTGTCATTTTGTTGTTGTTGTTCAGTATGCGATTTTAATAGGTTTCCTACATTCTTGTGTACTTTTCATCTGGTTTGGAGGAGTGGTAAAGAAAAATAATCCCTCGTGGGAACGAATTTTCAATTTAATGTTGTAAGTAAATGGGAAAAATATCGTATGCTTTGCAGCTGTTTGAGGAACACATCTCTTCCCCAAATAGGTTATTCTGCAGAAGAGTCTGATTTTCTCAGATACTTTGGGCTGTTAAGTTATGGAGATGAAGTTCTAAATGGAGTTCCGGGGTTGGGGGGCGCGTCCCGCCGGTCCCTGCAGCCTACAGATCGCGTCCTCTGTCTCTCTTCAGGGTCTGTGTCGGGACTTTGCCCTCATGCGGTTGTTGGTTTAAAGAATACTGCTCCCTCTGTGTGTTCTTCCACCTTTTAATAGCGTCATTGGGATGGAGTCAAGGCAGTGAGACAGCTTTGCATAATAATCATTCATTCTTTGATCCGACAGTTTGTTATCCACTTATAAGCTGTGTGTCAGGCTCTCTGCGAGGCCCTGGGGGTGCTAAGATAAGGA